CTTTCCATTAACAATCAGATGTGTTTATTAGGACCTGTACACCCCCAGCCCCCACATCTCACACCTTCCCTGCCTGCACGCCTACCCCCCACCATGACATTTCTCCCCTCCATGTGTCAATCCAGACTGCCCCTCCTGAGAATGGCTTCTCCTCTTCTCCTTAGGGACTGTCCCCTCCACTTGTACCCTCAGCTGTCACTGCCGAGACAACCCATTCAGCTGCTTCTACTCCAGAAATCTCTTCCCCGTTTCGTATTTTTGTCCTGTTTAAAGAAGGACCTTTTTTTTTTTTTTTTTTTTTTTGCTGATTTATTTTTATTCAATTACCCTCTCTCTCATGAAGCGGGGGGGCATCAGTTGTTACTGAGTCCATTCCATCTCTGGGTGACCCCATGTGTGTCCGCGTTGACTGGGCGCCCCAGGGCTGTCGGGCTGGTTTTGCAGAAGTAGGTCACCATGCCTTCTTTCTGAGGCACCCCTGCATGGACTTGATCTGCCAAGCTTTCGGTTGCCAGCTGAACGCTGAGCCATTTGTACCTCCTTGAGAGATCTGTGAGGAGCCTCAGGTGGCGTGGTGGTTACATGTGAGCTGCTAACTGTGAGGCTAGCAGTTCAAAGCCTCCTGCCACTCTGAAGGAGAAAAATGGGACTTTCTACTCCCCTAAATAGCTACCGTCTCGAAACCTCACGGGGGCAGTTGTACCCTGTCGTAGGGGTCACTATGAGTCGGTTGCAACTCGATGGCAATGAGTTTGGCTCTTTGGAGAGGTCTGCCGCAGACCTGCCCCCTCGGCCAGACAAGACAACACAAGTGAGACAGCCCCTCGGTCTCCAGCTATAGCTCTCCAGCGACCTGCCAGGGCCGGCGTCCCTGGTGCCATGGAGAGAGAGGAGAGGACGCAGGAGGTGTCCGGCTGGATCCCAGGGCCCTTTGCACATAGAGTGAACCCTCGTTTATCGCGGTTAATCGGTTCTAGACCCTACCGTGATAAATGAAATTCCGCGAAGTAGGATTCCTTATTTGTAAATCAAATATTTTCGTAGTTAGAGCATAGAGGACATGAAAAAACACCCTTTAGTCACCATTACACTCGTATTACCCAATTTATTAAACGAAAAAGGGAAAATACAGTAAAACATTTTGGACGTTACAATTATCATTTATTATTTATTATATTATTTATGGCATCTAGTTTACAGTATTACATATTTCACATCCAGTATTATTATACATAGTTCTTACAAATACTGTAATCAATGGTGTGCAACCTCCACGATTTTCTTGCCATCTTTGATCATATCCAAAAGTTTTACCTTTTCCTGGATGGTGAGCATCTTCCTCTGGCGCTTATTTTTATTGTCAGAAGGCTTAGAAGAAGCAGCTCGTTTAGGAGCCATCATAGGGCTTAGATAAAATTTCTTAAAAATCGCAAACAATTACAGTACACTGTACAAAAGCAAAAATGCATCTGATACGTAGCTCCGATACGTAGCGATGCAGACAGAAGCGTGTACAGTATGAGCCAATCAGTGGCAGTAATGACAGAGCATGCGCTGTTACGCAAAAACCGCGATAGAGTGAAGCCGCGGAAGTCGAAGCGCGAAGTGGCGAGGGTTCACTGTATATACTGGATGGCTGAATGACTGGCGTTAAAGCTAAGAAACAGCTCCATAGAATTGTCTCATCCTCCTTTTTTCCTTTGCAAATGCAATTCTGTGGCAGAATTGTTCAAAACCTAAATATTGCCATTTTTTAAAATGAGCTCGTTGGATTAGAACGCATTAATTAGTTGAGGGTGCCCTGTGGTTTCTATTATTTTGTTTTTTGGTTTAAAGGATTGTTAGATGAATGGAGACCTGTTAGTGCAGTGGTTAAGCACTCAGCTGCCAACCGAGGTCAGCAGTTCGAACCCAGCAGCTGTTGCTGGGAGAAAGATGAAGCAGGCTTCTACTGCAAAGAATAACAGCCTCCGAAACTGGATGATGTAGTTCTCCTTTCTGGTGTGGTGAGTTAGGTGTTGGGCTGCTAACCATAAAGTTGGCAATTCAAGACCACAAGCTGCTACATGGCAGAAAGACGAGGCTGTCTCCTCCCATAAAGAGTTACAGTCTCAGAAACCCACAGGGGCTGGTCTGCTCTGTGTGGTCTTGTAGGGGTTACTATAAGCTAAAGTGGACTTGATAGTGAGGTGATTTTTGTTGTTGTCTTTATCACATTAGCACTCAACACAACACATGCAGAATGTTGTTCTGTCAAATTTTGTATTTGGTTCTAAGACTTACCTATCCACCCTTTATCCAGAAATGTTAAATAAAATTTTTTTCACCAATGAAGAAGATCAATATGAAGGTCTTCACTGCGCTTAGGAAATCTCACCAAGGTCTTGAGTTTTAAGCCATTTGATTACAATCTGCAAGGAAAGACCAGTCCTACTCATTGCATACCCAGGCCCTTTATAGACCATCAACATGGGGCCAGATTCCCTGATTGATCTGATGGTATCCTAAATATGCTAATTTGAGTGTCTTCCTCACCCTGAAGTTTGGAATGCCCTCCCCACCGCCCATTACTCCCAGCACATCTAGATGCTCAGGTCCCCTGCAGGGCAAGCAGCCAGCTGCCTCGCTCAGCCTGGTGCCGTAACCATCTAACCATCGTCTTCCTGAACTATAATGTGTGCTGAAATCCAGAAGGGCTGTTACTTACGCACTTGGTAGAGTATTTTTGAAAAGCCAATATGGAATTTGAGGACAGCTTGTGGAAATTGAAATGACAAGCGGAACTCTCTAGCTCAGTGGTTCTCAACCTTCCTAATGCCGCAACCCTTGAATACAGTTCCTCATGTTGTGGTGACCCCAAACCATAAAATTATTTTCATTGTTATTTCATAACTGTAATTTTGCTACTGTTATGAATCAGGTGACCCCCGTAAAAGGGTCATTCGACCCCCACAGGGGTCAGGACCCACAGGTTTGAGAACCGCTGCTCTAGCTGCTTATCAGCGCATTCTGAATCTGGTCAGAGAGGGGAGTGAGTCCGAGTCACCAGAAGAAGGGAAACATACTCAAAGCCCATGGGCCCAGGGGCATGCTTTGGCTTGTTCCCTGCGTACCCAGCCCCTGGGCCTTCGTCAGGGTCCAGGACTCCAGCAGGAGGAAATCCTTCCTCTGTGAGTTTCCGAGGTGCGCTTTACTCCTTCCAAAGCTCAGGGCAAGTCAATTATTTACTTAGGTTCATTTTCCTGAAAAGTGTACTCAAGACAAGGCTTCCCAGCTTCCTTTTCTCCAAGGGGAAAACTCTACCGTCCTAAGCTCCCTTTTACAGCAGGGGCACAAATAGTTTTGTATGTTACTTGACCATTCTTCAAGACCAAGAAAGCAGCTCTTTTTTTTTTGAAAGCAGCTCTTACTCTTAAAGTTTGTAGGACTTCTTGTGCTCCTACTTTAGGCTGCTCCTTATGGATGTTGCGTGAAGCTCTGTGGGTTGATGGAAGCCAGAGAGGACACTGGAGGGGCTGGTCAGGTCTGACTGCTTCGTAATCAGGAGCTGCTCCGAGTCCCCAACCTGCTTTCTGAGAAGTTAACATCTCTAAGGAATTAATTTTTGTATTTCTTTTGCACATTCATGTCCGTATCACAGAATGGCTGGGTTTTGAGTTTGGGTGTTTTTTTAACGTTCAGTGGCTTACCAGATCATTTGGCCCTTGTCTCCCTTTCCTTCGTCAACGTTAATCTTTAAAGCATTACCAGCCGGGTCCTTGGACTGCCTGCTGTGAGGTTGGCAGCTGCTCCCCAGGAGGATGATAAGGCTGGCTGATCCTGCAAAGACTTCCTACCTAGGGTCGCCTGCGTGGGAATGGAGCAACAGCACTGGTGGGGGGCAGGGGAGAGGGTTGTTTGTTTTGATTTTGTCTTTGGTATCATTTCACAGTGGCTCCTAGCCTGCTCCCAAAGAACAGAAGGTCCCTGAGCTACACCCAGCTAGGACGGTGCACAGCCAGCCTCCTGCACTAACCTGAAGTCGTTTGTTCTCCATCAACACCTCGCAGTACTCACTGTTCATCTTTGTGCCCCAGAACAAACATATCGGTCTTTCTACATCATAGATGTTACAGTTTGTAGTCTTAAACCACATTTCCAGGTAATCCAGGGTTTATCCTAGTGTCCAGCTCATCTCGCCTGGATCCGGAAGAACAAAGACACCGGGGTATATAACATATGATCCAGCAATTCCACTCCTACGTGTATCCTCCCCCACAAAAAGAAAATAAAAGTGGGTGTTCAAACCTGTACACACATGCTTGTAGCACAAGTATTCGCAATAGTGAAAAATGGAGACCTGGGGTACAACTACTAATTGCAAGCACTTTGAGGTGACCCTCTATACCAAACCCCTCCTGTCAAATCGAGTCTGACAGAGTGACCCAGCAGGACAGAGTGGAACTGCTCCTTTGGGTTCCTGAGGTTGTAAATCTTCACAGAAGCAGGCGGCCTCCTCTTTCTCCCCTAGAGTGACTGGCGAGCTTGAACCACTGACCTTGTGAGGTGAGGCAGGTAGAACAAATGACTTCCAACTAGAGCAGGATCAGCTGTATTCGTTTCCAATCCGTGTACCTTGTAGCACTGGGACCTCCTTGGGGGCAGGGATGATTGGATAGCTTCTTTTAGTTGTTCATCCCATTTACCTAACCACACTGCTCTAGGCCTATCAATAAACTTTTCCGTCCTCGTTATTGATAGATCGCAGGTTTGAATTCACCTACCTGGTAAGAACATTTTATAACCCCAAAGTCAATGCTTGTATCTGAAGGGCCACCTGCAGTGGCAAGTAGTGCACACATTCCTAGCTGAGACGGAGCAAGCCTGTTCACAATTCCTTCGGTGTTGGCGGGGACTCGTCAGGCATGAAAACGGTGGACAGTGAGAATCTGCTGTCACAGCAGCAATCACTATGGGGAGTTATCAATGATTCTTCCCTCTCACACCTCTTTCTTGAACAGTGCACCAAGACATGTGGCAACGGCTCCAGGTACCGCAAGGTGGTGTGTGTGGATGAGGACAAGGGCGAGGTCCATGACATGTACTGTGACGTGGCCCAGAGGCCTGCCGACCGCGAGACCTGCAGCTTGCAACCCTGCGAGTATGCCTGGATCACAGGAGAATGGTCGGAGGTATGTTACTGCCTCAGACCCACGCTGCCTGAGGGCAGCAAAGGGGTGAGAGAAAGGTTGACGTGGGCCCACCTCTGGCCGTGTGAGGCAAGCTCTCCTGCCAGACTGGGCCTGAGAGCCTAGGACGCCAAGTGGGAGAGAGGTATGAGATGGCTTCTGAGTTGCTGTCAACCCTGATGACCTGTGGCCCACCTGGATGTCCGAGCTGTAGGCTTGATGGAGGAGAGTGCAGAACACGGACTACAGGTTCTTAGGTACCCAAAGGAAGGGAAGTGCAAGAGTGGGTCTAGGGTCAGGGAGACCTCAGGGAGAGGTGGGCCATGACAAACGGAGCTATAGAAAGGAACCGGCTCTTGGCCAGTCCAGGTGAGGCCATGCCTGAGTAAAGGCCCAGTGTTACCCATTCTGCTTTTGTCAGGGAAGCTCAGAGTCTGCACTCTTCTGTGAAAGCTCCTGATTTCAAACTAGGAGGGTGGGGTGGGGTGTGTGTGTGTGTGTGTGTGTGTATAAGCCAAACATTTTGTGAGCCAGCTACGAGTCACCTGTGTGCAGCCTCTGATGTTTGGTTGGATGCAGAGACCCTTGGTTGTCTATTTCACATCTCTGCCTGCTCACACTGTCTGTAGAAATGCGTTGTGTTACTAACAAGCCAATAACAATATTGTGGTTTTTACGATGGGGCAGAGCTCCAAAAAGTTCATGAAAAGATAATATAGAATGTCTCCCTGAACTTTTGTAGCCCCTGATGTAATTTTCAAACTATATATTTTTCCAAATATTGAAAGACCTCTCACATCAAAACAAGCCATCATTTGCTACCCTGCTTCCTCCCCAAAATTAGAGGTGTGAAAGGCGAGCCTTTTTTCTCAGAGCACAGTGGTCGGGAGTCTCAGGTGGTGTGTGAATGTGTGCTCCGGGACCAGGGCCTCACCCCCTGGTGGCATTTTCAAATGGGAACAGGAAGGGTACTTGCATTTCAGCGATGTCTGTCGGGCCTTGGGTTTCCTCCCAGAAGCTGGTCCTGAGACCTTTTGAACTGCATCTTTCCATAAGTCACTCCACCCAAGTGGTTTTGCCCCTCCAAAGACTCTTAAGTGATGTGTGGAGGCACTTTGCGTCACAACCAGGGTCTGCGGCTAGAATCTATCAGGCAGAGACCAGGGATTCTGTGAAACATCCCACAGCACCACAGTGCGCAGCAGAGCCCTCCCCCCCCCCCCGCCCCTGAATTATGCAGCCCCAAAGGTTGCTCTAACTCAGCCCTTGGTTTGCCCTGAATGGCACTCCAGGTCGTGCAGCGTGCAGCGGAGACAAGGTCCAGGATGCAGATGACTGCTGGCCTGCCAAAAACAGGCAGAATCCAAAGGAGCATCCAAAATAGCACCTTGCTTTGGGTTTGAGGTCTGGTGGGATAGTGGTTACATATTGGGCTGTGATGCTAAAGGCCAGCAGTTCTAAACCACCAGTCACTCTGCAGGAGGAAGAAGGTGCTTTCTACTCCCCTAAAGAGTTACAGTCTCGGACACCCACAGGGGGCAGCTGTACCCCGTCCTATAGAATCGCTAAGTCAGCATTCACTCCACATCAATGAGTGTGGCTTGGGGGTTTGGGCTTGAGGCACAAGTGCCATTCCCAATGGGCTGACGGGGACAGGGTGGGGGGTAGGTAGTTCAGGGATGACTTCGCTCCCCTTTTGAACCAGCCCCTCACAGTTCTGCAGAGAGATGTCCCTAATTTCTGGCTCCGTCTCTGGTGCTTCAAAGCTCTGGTCTGAGATGGTCTGGGGACGACACAAGTGGTCACCCTTTCCCAGCACTGTTGGCTGGGCCTGTCCTCTGCAGCTTCCCTCAGAGCTGTGCGGGCCTCCGAATCTAAGCTGACTGCCTCCGGGGCTCAGTTTCTCCAGAGACCCCCCTCCCTTTCCCTCCTCCCCACCCAGACATCGTCACCGGGCTGGTGTCGCTTCTGCTTTGTAGGGGAACGGTCTCAGCCTTTGCCGGGGCAGCCTTACAGACCCGCTTCTTCCGTGCACGCAGACTGTAACGTCAACTCAAGCGGGCTCCACACAGTTGGCAGGAAATTTCCATGATCTTTTCATCCCAGGTGGAAGCCCCCCTCTAGATGCAGGCCCTGGTTTTGACACCCTTAGCATTCCCACAGCTTAGACAGACAAAGCACTGACAGGCCTGTCCAGGCCAGCATCAGCCAGGCTAGCCTTGCATTCCCCTGGCGTGCTGTCAAATGGGGCTTGGAGCAGCTGAACAGCAGCAGCCAAAGTGGGAAGAAGCGTTTGCAGCACACGTCAAAGTCTGGAGCCTGCTGAAGGGAAGGCGCAGGGTTGCTCTCTACCGCTTGTTCCCTCCTGCCTCCAGCAGCTCGCTGAGGGGAGGCTTCTCCTGGGAAAGTGTTAACCGAGGGAAACCACGTGTCTCAGAGCAACAGTCCAGAGACATTGGGAAACAGGAGACGCTGTAGGTCTGAATCACCCTGGGGAACTGATGACAGCGCAGAGTCAGTCCTCCACCCAGAAAACGCGTAGGACACCACCTGCAGCTTCCTGCTTCAAGGGGGCGTCTGACTCTTCCCCGGGGCACCTTTGGACGAGAGAAGACTGATGACACCCAACGCAGATCACTGTTGCCAAGTGAATTCCGACTGGGGCAGCCCCACACGTGTCAGGGAAGGTGCTCCAGAGGTGATCAATAGCTGCGAGCGCCCAGAGGCACATTGCCAGGCCTTTCTTCAGAGGCACCCCTGGATGGACTTGACCCTGCAGAGCTACTCCTTAGAGTCCCGCAGACTGTAAATCTTCCTGGGAGCAGAATGCCTCATCCGTCTTCTACAGAGCAGCTAGTGTGTTTGAGCCACCAACCGAGCAGTTACAGCCCAGCATTCAACCCACGGGACTCTGATCCATCGCCTGAATTTTAAGTGGCTTTACAGGTCCTTTACAGCAGCGAATAGGTTCTTTGAGAGGGTTGCCTTTAAAAAAAAAAAAAAAAGTTAAAATTAAATTATTGTAATTCAGTGTTTCTTAATGCACTTTATTAATCAGGGCAGTTTTACTTCATAGGAAAATTGTGCAGAAATCACAGCATTTCCATATATTCCCACCTCCTTGCACATAGTCCCATGCATGAGGTTGTTAAATTGCTATAGTTGATTAACCGATATTGATACATGATTATTAACAGAAGCCCATAGTTTACATTAGGGCTTTGTCCTGTGGGTTTTAAGAAGTGCATAATGTCATGTGCCTCCATGACAGAATCATGTGTGGTGTTTCCGCTGCCCTTAACATGCCCTGTGGGTCACAGCCGTCATATGAGTTAGTCTAGAAAAGGCAAAGCTACCCTGGCTGTCAAGAAGGGATGGGGGTAGGGAGTGGGGAGGAATAGCAAAAGCATTTTATTTTTTTAGAAAGAGACAGACGATGTAAAGTCTTTTGCTAAGGAGGTTGAACATATTATAAAATCTTAGAAAGAACCAGGTTGCTGCCCTGTTGTGAAAGGGAGCGCACGAATACGCATCAGCTATCCATCCCCTCTTGTTGCATTAACTATTTTAAAAGAGCCACAGGACTGCATGAAGTGCCCAGGGAGAGAGCTACACTACTTCAGACTGCCCTCTTGTCTACTCCAACCGGTGGCCCCCCACCCCCACCCCATGTGTGTCCGAGTAGACCTGTGCTCCCTAGAGTGTTCGTGACTGCTTTTTCAGAAGTAGACGGACTGCAGTGTCCAGCCTTTAGGTCAGTAACCAAGAGTGCTGGTCACCGTATCACCATATCAGGGACCCCGGAGAGTAAAGCAGGAAGGTGGCATTTCAGCCATCGCTTGGGAGAGGAGAGAGAAGGAAGCTAAGTTGATGTCAGATGGAAAAGTAAAATGCCATCGAGCAGAGAAGGGGACTCTCTCCTCATGCTGACTCCCAGGCTGGCTTCTCCTTGCCCTGTGCCACTTCCAGTACAGGAGGTGGGGCAGGGGAGCCTGTCCTGCCAGCCCCTGTGGTTAAACTATAACGGCAAATTGAGCTGTCCGTGAGTGGAGTGCTTCCCTGCTCCCCCCTTCCCCCCCCCCATGTCCATAGAAGGGGCTCTTGGTGCCCCACCCCCACCGCCAACAGGGCTGAGAAGATGGAGTGGAAGCCCTGGCTCCCGGAAGGAAGGCGTCATATAGGGTTGCTTGTCCCCTGTGTGCCCAGGGCCTGTCGTTTGAACAGAATAAATAAACTAATAAAGTGAGAGCTTTCTCCAGCATTGTTGCCGGGTCAGCTTTCAGCGCCGAGGTCAGAGGCCCACTGTGGGCTGCCCTGGGGAACCACTGAAGCCTCTCCTCCCAACCCCTCTTTTCTCAGTGCTCAGTGACCTGTGGACGGGGCTACAAACAAAGGCTGGTCTCCTGCAGTGAGATTTACACCGGGAAGGAAAATTATGAGTACAGCTACCAAACCTCTGTCAACTGCCCGGGCATGCAGCCGTCCAGCGTCCACCCCTGCTACCTGAGGGAGTGCCCAGTCTCCGCCACCTGGAGGGTGGGCAACTGGGGGAGCGTAAGTAGACTGCCCAGGCCGCAGGTCTGAAGGCCTTTGCACCGGTGCCCCTCCTCCACCTCCACCTGTTCTCTGCCGTAACTGGACTCCTGGGGGAGACTCCAGGGAAAAGCAGGAGTGAGCAGTTGTGGGGGACAGTTGGGTGAACAGGGGCCTCTCCTCTTCGTGTCTGGCAGGATGCCCTGGTGCATAGAGCAAGGCCTCTGAAGCATGCCACCTCCACCTGAATTACATTGGGCGAGCTGCCTAACTCGTGATGCTCGCCCGCAGAATGGGTGGTTATGGCGAATAAATTCAGTGAGACCTCTAAGAACCAGAACTCACCAGGACTGCTTCACTTTTCCGGGTCTTACAAGGTTCCCGATTTTGGCTAAGCACCTTGCTGTTGCTCTCTATTAGCACATGTGTACCTTTCCTTTCTCTGACAAGCTGCACTCCCTTACACAGGTGCCAGCTCCTACGGGGTTCTACTGGATTAAAAGCCCTGAGCTCCTCCTGGCACAGACAGGAGCTGCAGAAGGGTTTGTGGTTGCTGCTACTGCTGCTGTGACAAGAGTAGATGTACATTCTAGTCCTTCTTTATCTGGGTCGCTCCATTGCATTTGGAGACAGCAAGGCACGGACTGCCCTGGGTGTTTGTGACAGCTCTTGCTCCACTCTAGTAAGATTGTCCATCCTGAAAACGGATCGAGCAGCACAGACGGCCATTGGAAGGGGTTTAGGTCTGAAGTCTGGCTCCACTGTGAACTTGAACAATTTACTTACCATCTGAGCCCCAAGGCCACATCTGTGAAAACAGAAGCCTTGATGGTGCAGCGTGTTATGTGATGGGCTTCTAACTGCCAGGGCAGCAGTTCAAAACCATCAGCCACCCCACAGGAGAGAAACGAGGCTTCCTACTCCGGTAAAGATTTACAGTTTTGGAAATCCTCAGGAGCAGTTCTACTCTGTTCTGTAGGTTCTGTGAATCAGAATCCACTCAATGACTAGTTAGTGATGTCAAATTGAGTTACGAGGATTACATGAGTATGAGGCATGTAAATGCATACACATAAAGAAGGGGCTTCAAAGATTCGTGGAAATGAAAGACCATGGGTGTGTTCCTTGTGGTTTTTTGAAGGCCCCTTGTGGATGTCTGTCAATACGGATGTGTTTGTGTAGAAATACGTGTATGTAAGGCTTAGCACAGAGGCTGGCACAGAGTTCAGTGCATGTCAGTTCAGTGCATTACCTTGGTCTGCTAGCCACAGGTACAGCGGTCGGAACCTGCCCAGTCACTCTGCCAGAAAAAAAGCTGAGGCTTTCTGTGCCGGTGAGCGTTCCCGCCTCTGAACCCCTGTGCAGGGTCGCCGTGGGTCAGGGTCAGCTTGGCAGCAGTGGCTTTATTTGCTGTCCACAGCATAAGGCCCCAAGTCACAGCAGGTTCGGGAGAGATCACCACCCTTCTAGAAGTCCCCACACCACTGACGTGGCTTGTCTTACAGTGCTCCGTGTCCTGTGGCCTTGGAGTGATGCAGCGATCTGTGCAGTGTTTGACCAACGAGGACCAGCCCAGCCACCTCTGCCCCCCAGATCTGAAGCCAGAAGAGAGAAAAACCTGCCATAATGTCTACAACTGTAAGCTTCCAGCTGGGGCCATCGTCCCGAAACCCCAAAACTTCTTTGCTTACTCCTTTTAGAAATGTTGAAAGAAATCATCCCTTTGGCTGCATGGTTTGGGTGTGGCCAGTGCAGCTCAGCTCACCAGCTGACAGTGCACTTCCAGGCCAGCACATCCCGTTTTCTGTTGGGTTTTTCAGGTGAGTTACCCCAGAGCTGCAAGGAGGTTAGAAGACTCAAAGGGGTCCGTGAAGATGGAGAATATTTCCTACTTATTCGAGGGAAGCCCCTCAAGGTGCGTGGTCGCCATCATGTCTGGAGCCTGTTTGGTTTGCGTGGCCTCTGCTCCCATTGGCCCATTTTGGCACGGCCCTTCATGGCTGACCGGACTCTCTTGCAGGTATTCTGTGCAGGGATGCACTCTGACCACCCGAAAGAGTATGTGACCCTGGTCCACGGCGACTCTGAGAACTTCTCCGAGGTTTACGGCCACAGGTAGGAGATCCCTGGCTCCGAGGAGTCTAGGTACTTGCCGATCCGGGCACCACCGCCCTGCCCTCACCAGAACCTTCTCTCTGTACTAGATTGCACGACCCGACAGAATGTCCCTACAACGGAAGCCGGCGCGATGACTGCCCGTGTCGGAAGGATTATACGGCAGCTGGGTTTTCCACCTTCCAGAAGATCAGAATAGACCTGACCACCATGCAAATAATCAGTAAGTTACGGGGCGTTGGCGTGGCCGGCTTAAGGAGCGCACACTGGCCTGGGCCTATGACGGTGGGCGGGATGTGGAGCTGGCCATTCACGGAGGACCAAGTCCTGGCAGCGTCCTTGTTCTGTCTGCTCACTGTGGTGCGCCTGGCAGGCTCCACCCACTCTGTGGGATGACAAGAGAGAAGCGAAGGACCAGCGAGGGGCACCGTTGGAGTGTGGAGTCAGAGCAGCCGCGTGCGGCTCAGACAAGTCAGAATGAGGGGCTGTTCACACAGTGCCAGCAGGAGGGCTTCGGGTGGAAGACACAACAGTTAGAAAGAACCCCCCACCCCCGCTAAGACATTCATCCAGCAACACCCCCTCCAGAACAGCGCACACACAGGCAGGAAACTGGTCTGATTGAACTGTCCGTGGACGGAAGAAAAATGAAGCACTGGGTTACCTGTTCCAAACTCCTCTCCCACCCAGGATCTGATTGTACCCTCTGGCCAGCGCTGCATTTTCTGTGAGGGGCATTAATCATGGGAGTGGTTAGACAGCGAAAATAACTAAACATGTGCCTTTGGAAAGAGGAAAAACAGAATGATGAATAATTAATTTTTCCTCCTTAACATTGCCCCCGAAATATTGCGCTGCTTTCCCCTTGAGGTAGATTAGACTTGATTTGAACCAAGATACTTTTAATTGCCTTCAGCTAGACTGATTAGGACCGCAGGAAGAGGGGCTGCTATTGCTCCTCCCACAGACCTAAGGGGCTCCACATGCTCAAGTGGGCCTTCGACGCCCCCCCAACACACACACACACACACACACACACACACACACACACACACGGTGTAGGTCCCTGTGAAAGATGACGGCCTACTTCTGCCATTCCCAATGGAGCCCTGGTGGTGTGGTGAGTGTTACACATCGGACTGCTAACTGCAGCATCAGCAGTTTGAAACCATAGACTGAAACTTCGGGAGAAAGATGAGGCTGTCTGCGCCCATAGAGATTTGCAGTCTCAGAAACAAACCCGCAGGGCCACTTCTGCTCTGCCCTGGAGGGTCACTGGCGATGGGATTCGACTTGAGGACAGTGAGCTTGAGTGACTCCTGCCATTCCGGGAGACAAGACAGGAAGGTCAGCATCCAGGAGCTTGGGTTTGGCTTTCATCTCCCTCCTCATTTGCAAACCGGGGCTTGGGTGCTATAACGGGGTTAACAGTGCAACCTCAGGGCCAGTATTGTTACTGTGATATTTAACAAACAGCAAATAGCCCCAAACTTGAGAAGCTGCCATTAATAATTTCAAGATGTGAGTTCTAATTGCCCTATGCTTTGGCAACACTAGCACCTAGGCCACGGGAGGACAGATGAAGCCCCAGAGCAGAAGCCCCAAGTAGCTGGAAAGGGATCTGCCTTGCCCATCTCTCCCTACCTCCTAAAGCCACCGTTGCAGCCCGACAGGATGCTCCTGACTCGTCCAGTTACCCTCCATTGAAAGGAGGTGGCTCTCTTCTTTACTTATGGAGGAATCTATTCCAAAGTCCTAGGAACCTCCTTCTTGGCATCCCTACTCTTGAGGAGACAGTGGGTGCTGAAAAAATGCAGGGAGCAAAGCTTTGGGAACTACTCTTATAATGAGGAAAAGGCAAGTGAACATCTGGACCCATTTGTTTTCCAAGGAGGATTTCTTTCCTCCCGGCCCTCTTTGTTTTTCCCCCCTCTTATTATGATTCTCCCTTTCGGTCCCCTTGTGAACATCCCCTGACCCTTTCCTCCCCGTCTGCCGCTCTCACAGTGCATCTCATTGACACCCTGTCCCTACCCCACAGCCACTGACTTGCAGTTTGCGAAGACCAGGGAGGGGCATCCCGTCCCTTTCGCCACAGCCGGAGATTGCTACAGTGCTGTCAGGTGCCCACAGGTAAGAAGAACTAGCTGAGTGTCTGCAGGTATTTCCCCCAAGCTTTCTTCCGTATGGACGGTCCACCTTCCCCCTTTGAATATTCAGTTTAGAGTCAGTGGTATGCTGGGAAATATCTAGCAATGGGCTCTCTGAAAACAAAAACAACACAGTCCTGCAGTGGAGCACCTGCCGATATCCATGGTGTAAATACTCCACACACGACCAAGTTCAGGCAGTCAACACGAGCTCACCAAGTGGAGAGTTAGGAAGAGGTGCACACAATAGGCTAACACAAGGCTAGCTCTAAGATACCACTGTCAGACACTAAAGACTCTTAATATTGCATGGGATAGAAAACCACTAATAGGATTAACGAGAGAAAGGATTCACAGCAGGCCTGCAGACTGTTCCCATCAATGTTAGTTGTTACAGTGTGTAGTGGAGAAAAGCCCCTAAGGAGACATCCCAGAGGATGGAAGGGGAGGCTGTGGGAAGGCACCCTTTTTATGTGTCTTTTGTTTCCACCTTCTGTATGTTTTCCACATTTTTCCAAATAAATAGAAGTTCTTTCCCCACTTTTAAAAGAAAAGGACATCAGACTCAGAGATTCCAAAACGTGTAATACTTACGTGAGCTTCTCTTAACTTCTTCATCACAGCCTGAAGTGAGGGTCTCCAGAGGAGTGTCAGCAGGAACCCAGCCAGGCGTTTCTTGTGTGTTCACATGCCGAGTCCTGGAGACTCTCAACTATCCATTCCTGGAGGCGGGGTCAGTCGGCCAAGGCCGCAGTACAATGAACAAATGACTGGTGTGCTGCCTTCTAGCAGTTGTCCAGGCAGGACCAAGGGTGTGGCTGTGTGGGAAAGATTCTGGGTGTGACGGACACCGTCTCTTATCCCTGCTTTGGGGCTAAATGTTTCATTTCCTTCTGGGTCGCTGGGCAGCATCTTCGTGCCCATCCTGAAGGCCACCCCCCCCCCCTTCCTGCTTCTTCATAGAAAGGGTGGACTTTGATTTTCCTATGGAAATATACTGTAACCGTCAGCCAGGGCTAAATGTTTGTTTGTTTGTTTTTATGTATTATTATCCAGGTAGTTAAATGATCTAAAATCATTTATCAGCTCAGGACTTTCTACATGTACCATTCGGTGACCTTGGCTAAGTTCATTCTGTTGTGCATCCGTCACAAGCCTCCTTTTCCCAGTTCATCCACTGCCATTGGCAGAAGCCCAGGGCAGCTCCTGCAAAGCAGACGCCCGCTTGTGTGCAAGGACTCTGCCCTTCGAAGGCAGGGGAGGCAGAAGGAACTGGACAATTCTGGACACACGAGAACCAGGCCCTGCGCTTTGCCTTGGGTCCCATGAGGCCACCACAGAGCTGCACTTTGTCTCTGCTTCTGTGAGATCTCCCACTTTGCCCATGAGCCTTCACGCGGCCCAGGATGGGGACAGGCTGCTGTGCTCAACATCCCAGGCTCCAGCTCTCCTGAAAGGATTTACTCAGTGCCAGAGCCAGGCCAAAGGCAAACACATCTGAGTTTTCCTTTAAGGAAGTGTTTTCTCAGCCCCCAGCTTTTGAAGAGCACTGCTAAACATTCTCCAGGAGAGAAAAGGAAGCTCTCTCAGGGAGAAAGAAAATAAACAAAGGGTATAATGGGAGAGGGGCCTTTCCTCCATTACCCCGAGTTTGAAAACTTTTGAAGTGCCCTTTCTTTCTAGCAAAGAGGACTTCAAACAGCCCACCTCCCATTTGAACTCCTCCTAGGTTGGCCCTGCGTGTCCGCCTTTTCCCAAGTCTCAGCGTTTTCTTGTTCATAATGCGTCCACATCCTTTGGGAAGCTTAAGTCAGTGGAAGGTAATTTGCTTTCATTTATTTTAATAATTCAGAGACAAATGAACTGATTGATTTGCTAAAACCTGACACAAAGCAATTGCTAAGTGAGAAAAACCCCAGCCAGCGAGAGAAGCTAATTGGTTGTTGCTGCTGCTGCAGTATTTTTTACCCCCCAGCCCATTCTTCAACCATATTGGCTTCCTTTTAGAATTCAACTCCTTAGGGACGTTTATTGAGCACCAACTGTATGATGAAGGCAGGATTCCGGTTTTCCAGGCAAAAGTTTGCAGGCAGGGTGGTTGTGCAGATGGCGCTGGAAGGGGACAGTTTCTCCTAGGATCACACAGAAATCAAAGCGGATACGGGCACCCTGTGCGGGAATCTCCTTTTCCCTCTTCTTCCATCTACGGTTTGTAGAATTGATTGGCCAATAAAGTGGGCTCTTGAGAACCCTCACTTCAAAAGAGAGCCAGCATTTGTTTTTTATCCCGATCACAGTAAATGCGGCCAGTGCTCTCGTTGTTATTGATGCTACTATGAACATTTCTTGTGCATTTAGGAGCCCTGGTGCCAGAGTGGTCACGAGTTGGGCTGCTAACTGCAAGTCAGCAGTTCAAAACCACAAGCCTGGAGAAAGACGGCGCTTTCTACCCCCATGAAGAGTTACGTCTCAGAAAGCTACAGGGGCAGTTCTAGCCTGCTCTATAGGACCACTATGAGTCGTCGTCCACTCGCTGACAATGACTTTGGGATATGTGTTGTTGTTGTTGTCGTCGTTATTGTGCATTTACTATGCTGTAGGCGATCCCAAAACATTTACTCCCTGCAAGGTCCTATGAGGGTGGATGTTCCTTTTTGTCCCCCGCCCCCGCTGTGGTGAGATATACCTAACACCATCCCTTTGCCATTTTAGCTCTTTCTGCGTGCAGTTCAGTGACATCTGTGACAGTCACTGTGTTTTACAACCATCACCACGATCTGCTGTCATTTCCTTGCTTCATATATGTAACAGAGAGCGAGGCATTAGCAAGAGCACCCTAATCCCCTCCCACCAGCCCCTAGTAATCACTGAAAATGCATTGCATTGGCTTAATCTAAATAGTCTAAGTACTTCCCCTTTGTGCCTCCTCATGTCAATCCGAGTAGTATCTCCAAGGGTCATCACCTGCTGCTGCAGTATCAAGACTGAGATTCTGGATGGTGGAGTCCTAGCTGCTGTAAAGAGGGAGGAGTCACCGCCGCTGTATGGAGGGTGGAGTTAGTTCTGTAGGCAGGGCGGAGTCCGAGCTGCTGTTTGGAGGGCAGGGTCGTATCTGCTGTAGGCTGCCCCGCCTCTGTCCATGGATACTTGGGTGGTTTCCACCTCCTGGCAGTGACTCTGGGTGTGTGGCACCCACAGTCCAGTTTTCCTTTCTTTCGTGCATATTCCTAGCAGTGGAATGGCTGGGTCTGAAGCAAGTCCTCCGTGTGGCATGTTGTAGGAACCTCTATGCTGGTTTCCATGATCTGTAAAATGGCGGGGGTGTTTCACACTTCTGCCAACTGGTGCCCCTGGAGTTGATATCACAGACTATCTGAAACCAAATCCATGGTGGCGGGCATGCCTGCCCCCCCCCCCCCCCCCCACCCCCCATCTTGTTTCTACAGCATTCACTCAGACAGCAAGCTTTCTTTTTGGTGTAAGGTGGATCTTTTAAAAACTTTTATGGGGTACCTCCTGTATGCATTTAGCCTTCTCTGCGTTTACAAGAGGTAGGACCTACTTGCGAAAAGAAAATTTGTGTGCCCTTGAACCCTGCGGGAGAGGCCGCTAGGGGAAAGGGGTCCCCCGAGGGCACCTAGACACACCACCAGGCCGGGACTCCCCGTGGCATTCTGCCTCCAGAGTGTGCTTGGCTGAAACGGCCGCTCCCTGGACGAAAAAATGGAGGCAAATGAGGAGGACCAGTTCCTGTATCCTCCAGGCCCCCACCCTGACCTGCGATGCAGGCGGGCCAGGTAGAGGGGCTGCTGCCTCAGCCCAGGATGCCCAGAGCAGTGCTCAGAGCAGTGAGGGTGGGTCAGCAGAAGCCGATGGGGGGCCTGTCTGAGCAGGAAGCAGGCTGGGGAGGGAGAGAAGAGAAGGCCCCTGGGCCAAAGGTCAGGCCCTGCATCTGTGGAGTTACTGGAGGCAGAGTGGTAGGAAGGGAAGCACGTGGCTAAGTGGGGCCATGCACCCCTCAGACCCCAGGGTGAGGAGACGAGCAAGCAGGTGCTGAGCTGGGCCGGCCACGGTCCGGAGCACCTGGGTATGTTGCCATTAAACCAGCACAGCCGCCGCTTACATCATCTGTACAGGACGGCCAGCAGCCAGGAAGCACTGACGGCAGTGGGTTTGGGTCACTACAGATGGGACATACTTTGACCGGTACTGAGTTAGATAGGTGCGTGTTCTTCCTGTGTCGTGCCCTCCTGGTCACAGGATGAGGTAAACGCAGAAAGGTTAACCACTGGTCCAAGGTGAGACTGAAAGGAGATAAGCGAGTTGAAATACTACCACAAAACATTCCTCCACACCATCAGGGCCAGCTTTGCCATTCTGGGCTGCTTACTCCCCGGTCTGGGGAGCTCCAGCCTCACGCCAGTCACTGCCAGCAGCACCTCCTCCCCCACAGTTGGTGGCAGCCAAAAGGTCCCCAGATGTTGCCTGATGTCACCTGGAAGGGTGACAAGACCACCCCCTGTTGAAAACCATTGGCTTCCAGGAGACTTCCTTGCACTTCTGTCAGCAGGGATTGTCTGTCTCTGTCTCGCAGCTGTGGGATCGCGAGCTGCAGGGGGCTCGGGACTCCTGTCTGGACCCGCCTTGGAGTGGAAACCTCCGGGGGCAGCAGGGCAGGACTCTGCAGAGGAGCTGGGATGTACCCTCTAGTAGGAATCGACTAAATGTCACGGGTCCCCAAACGGAGTTGATGCAAGAAAGCCAAGCAGCACAAGCCCCGTGCCTCCATCAGCTCGCCGTGGCATTGGAGAAATGAGACTCGCATTCCCCGGGAGAAGGCACAGGACCGAGGCCAGTAGTGTGGAGGATCCGCAAGGTCCCGTGAGCTGCTGCCGTGGCTCCTCCTCCCCGGTGCTCACTGTGCCCTTCTCCCCCCCGGCTTCCACTGTGCGACAGGCAGACTGAGGTTCGGAGAGGCTATGGACACTGGCCCTCACTGGCGTCACACACCTCTACCTCACCACCCTCATTGTTCACAGACTGTTGTGACAAGTAAGGTTCGGAGCGGACACAATCACCAAGGCATGTTCACCAGGGCCTCTCTCACTCCCTACAGGCTCACTGCGGCATGCAGGCCATCCCCGGGTTACAAGAAGACCACACACTACTAAGTGGGTCTTTAAGTAAGCTGGGTGCACAGCGGTTGTGCATTGGGCTGCTAGCCACCAGGTCAGCAGTTTGAAACCACCCGCTGCTCCATGGGAGAAAGACTAGGCTTTGTACGTGTGTAGAGTCACAGTCTCTGCAGCCCACAGGGGCCGTTCTACCCTGTCCCGTAGGGGCCACTATGACTCGAATCAGCTAGTGGACATTGAGGTGTTTTGTTTTGAGTTAAGCGTTTAAGTCAACTGTGTGAGTAGGTTGGGTTAGGCACGGAGCCTAACATCTGTGCTTCAGGAGAAGCTGTCCTTGCATTGAGGGAACTTGATTGTGCTGAAGAATTTGCCAGGAGTTGGTCGGTTCAGTCGTTTCAAAGTGAGGGCAAATTTACATGACATTAGAGGCCACAAAGGAGTTGTCCCCAATCTGACTTACCCACTGACTGCCTTAGTAAGAACATTCAGCAAGCAGAGGGGCATGGGGCTGGGAAACCTCAGGCAGAAACGACTTGAGATGAGAGAAACAGACAGATGGAGAAAGAGAAGCTCTCCCTGGTTGGATCTTTGCCTAAAAAATAAATCTCTAAACACAGAGGCCAAGTTGTGAAAGGCATCCTCCTGAGGCCCTTGGGGAGATCATGTTTCCGTTGTCCTGAAAGAAGCCAGCCCCTTCCCAGGCGGCTTTGAGCAGGCCAAGCCTGCCCTCTGCTGGCCTCGCTGGGGAAAGCACCCCCTCTTCGAAGTCCAGCTCTGCTGTGCGTAGGGGTGGTGTGCTGACCCCCGCGGGGAGCTGGAAGCCGGGAAGCTTTGGCAGCAAGATCTTGTTAGAAAAATTACACTGTGGCATTTTGTTCTGGAAAGAATCCGATAATTGTGAGCAGCATCAGAGTGGCTGCAAGCAGGAACTTTGTTGACTCCAAGCCTTCTGAAGTTCAATCCCACTCAGCCAAACCCAGCCCTGCCCACAGTCATGCCGGCTCCCAACCACCATGCAGGGCAAAATGGGACGACGGAGCCTCCTGTTTACAGAAGCAAAGGGCTTCAGCCTTCTCTCCTGGAGCTGCTGATGGGCTGGGCCACCTACCTTACACGCTTACCCACAGCACCTTGAGGGCTCCACGAACCCTAGAGGAGGCTGTCAGTTTGCCTGTTTCCCCCCTGTCCAGAAGGTGCCCCCACCGGAGCTCTTGCAAGGGCGGATGAGATGATACGCATGAAGCATTTGGCTGGAGGGGCGAAGGGTTCAGGAAATACATGCTCTGGTGATAATTAGCATCCTTCTCCTCTGGAAGCTTCGCCTTTCCTCCGGTTGGGATGCCTCATGGACTGACCATCTTTCTCGTGGCCCGTTTCTTCCAGGGACGGTTCAGCATTAACCTTTATGGGACGGGCCTGACAGTCTCGGATTCGGCCAGGTGGATATCACAGGGCAATTATGCCGTCTCCGACATCAAGAAGTCTCCGGTAAGACCCGAGGGTTGGGGGCTGGGCTGCCATGGCTCTGCGAGGGGTGGCAGAAGGAAGGGACGCCCTCTGTTTCATCCCTTCAAACCATTTTGCAAAATGTCGGGGAGTACAGGGAAGGCCGGAGCTTGGCTGGGGGAGAGCGTGGGGAGAGCAGATCACGGAGCCTGCTGGCCCCCCAACGTGAACACACGCACCAGTCCTCAGAAGGACTGGGAGCTGGAGGCTAGAAGTGGTTGTGGTTCCCACACCTTGGCCATCAGCCACCCTGTGATTTTGTGTGTGCATGAGCTCCAGGGAGAGATGAAGTCTTTTCCTTGGCGTTACGGGACATGGAAACATAAACGAGACTGGAAAAAAAGAGAAAAACTTGCCAGCAGAAAGTCCAAGGAGTTACGGAAACACAACTTCTGCCATCATCTGTTTTCCTCCCCAACCTTGCTCCGCTAATCTGTTGACCTTGGGAAAGCCATTTCCCCGCGGGTCTGCTGGAGAGGCCAGCCCTGGAACCCCAGGCCCACCGAGTCAGGCTGGGCTGTGGCGTGAGAAGGGCCAGTCGTGTGCACGGATCCTCAGCCCGGTGTGATGTTACATCACTTGGGGCACGTGACGGGGCACAAGCCAGGCCTCACCCTGCATTCAGTGGCATCTCTGAGGGTCAGGGCTTGGAATGATCGTTAGTGGACGGTCCCCACTATGATGTTCTCTCTGATGTTGCGCTCACTGCCCTCGAGTTGATGCCGACACATAGTGACCCTACAGGACAGGGTGGACCTGCCCCTGTGCGTTTCTGAGACTGTAACTCTTCTCGGAAGTAGAAATTCTCATCTTTCTTCTAAGAAACAGCTAGTGGTTTTGAACTGCTGACCTTGCAACTATAGCCCAACTCATAACCACTGTGCCACCAAGGTTCCCAATAAAAATCACTGCCAAGAAAACCTCATGGAATGATCCCGTGTTGTCACTTGGGGCCACTGAGTGGAATCCACTGGACAGGTATCTCAATCTGGTTAAATAGCCATGCTGATTACTCCTAAATTATTAAATATTTTCTTTGCACCAGGGAATAAAGATAGTAGAAAGAGAACTTCTAGGATCCTTGTAATGTGTTTCGTGGCCCAAAGCAGGGTGAGAATTAGCTGTTCCAGATGGGGTTTCAGGACACGAGTGCTGAAGACAAAGCAGGTGCACAAACTAATGTGGTGAAGAAAGCTGTTGGTGCCCGGCTATTACAAGATATAGTGCCTGGGGTCTTAAAGGCTTGAAGTTAAACAAGTGGCCATCTAGCAGGGAAGCAACAAAGCCCCATGGAAGAAGCACACCATTCCATGTGTTCATGAAATATGATGGGGTCAGGTATCAGGCATCAGAAGACCCAAAACAAATAACCATTGTGATGTGAACAATAGAGGTCAGAATGGAGACCCAAAGCCCATCTTTAGACATTTGCGTATTCCTTCACAGAAGGGTCACAAGGAAGGGACCAGCCAGCCAGGGTGCAGTGTAGCACCGATGAAATATACAACATTCCTCTAGTTCTTTAATGCTTCCTCCACCCCACCCCACCCCCACTATCATGACCCCAATTCTACCTTACAAATCCAGCTAGACTGGAGCATGTACACTGGTACAGATAAGAACTCTCAACCTACAGAATCCAGGACAGATAAACCCTTCAGGTCCAATAATGAGAGTAGCGATACTATGAGGGTAGGGGAAAGGTGGGGGGAGCAAGCGGGAACCAATCGCAATAATTGACATATAAGCCCAGTCCCACCCCCAGGCAGACAAACAACAGAAACATGGTTGAAGGGAGACAGCAGACCGTGTAAAATATGAAAATAAAAATAATTTATAAATTATCAAGGGTTCACAAGGGTGGCAGGGTGAAGGAGGAAGGGGTCAAAAGAGGATCTGATATCAAGGGCTCAAGTAGAAAGAAAATGTTTTGGAAATGATGATGGCAACATACGTACAAATGTGCTTGATACAATCAATGTATGGATTGTTACAAGAGCTGTAAAAGCTCCCAATAAAATGATTTATTAAAATTATTTTTTTTAAGAAAAAAAAAATGGGTTGAATGTGAAGCCTAATTGTGTAACAAGCCATCTATCTATAAGCTGCCCAAACTAAGCTGAGGTTTTCTTTGTATAGCTCATCAGTCTTAGAGCTTGCTTCCAGAGACAAATTAGAAACCATTCTAGCCAGGGGCGCCACCTTAAGGAGAGAATTGTCACTACACCACCAAGCAGTTGTCACTACACCACCAAGCCTTTTGAGGAAGCTGTCTGAGGAGTGTCTGCCTGTGCTATTACAGTTATATATTTCCATTCTGATGTTCCATGACTCAGAGAGACCCTGTACCAAAATCAAGTTCACTGTCTATTCCGTCTCATGGCAATCCTACAGGACAGGATAGAACTGCCCCTGTCAGTTTCCAAGACTGGAACTCTATGATAGTAGAAAGCCTACTTTTGCTCCTGAGGAGTGGCTGGTGGACTTGAACTGCTGACCTTGCATCTAACAGCCAGCACATAACTCAGACTTGACTCAATGGCGTGAGTTTGGTAGTCCATGACAACTCAGAAAGCCTGAGCGCAGAATGAAACTCAGCGTTCTGAGCACCTCACTGCTTACGAAATGCCCGACGCCAGGACTGCGCAATCTCCCATACGCAGCAGCTGGGGGACTATGTGTCTGATCCAGGGTGGTGCAGAAGACAGCCTCCCCTTGAAGTGCCCATTGAAAATAGGCCTCCCTGGCCAAGGACACCTGGGAAGCGGTTCGTATGGATTTCGGTTCCTCCCCCGAGTTCTGGTAAACGAGTGTTAGCATGTTGAAAGTTGGAGAATGCATCCATAAGAGCCCCTGTTTGAATCAGTGCTCCCCTACCCCAGTGGGGCTCCAACTTGAGCGGGTTAGCAGCACCCGGAAGGCTTGTAAATTTGCATGTCTAGGTGTGGTGGATTACAAATTCGACTGCAAACCACAAGGTCACCAGTTTGAAACCACCCGCCTCTCTGAAAGACAGAGACGAAGCTTTCTACTCGCATGAAGAGTGACCGTCTTGGAAACACCCGGGGCAGCTCTACCCTGCCCCACTGGGTTGCTATGAGTCGGCATCAGCTCGATGGCGGGGAGTTTGCTGGAGTTCATTCACTTCTTGTCAAGTCTGAGTGGAACGATGGTGCAAAGCTGTTTGCATGGCAGGTGCCAAGAGCCCAATGATTGTTACTTATCAACACTACGGGGGTCCTTGTGGGGCAGTGGTTAAAGCTCTGCTCCACTAACCAGGGGTACTTTTATAAAAAGTAATAAAATTCTGCTGACCAAAAAATTCACACTCGCTGCCTTTGAGTCGAAGCCAACTTTATAGCGACCCGATGGGATAGGGTGGAACTGCCCCCGTGAGTTTATAAGACTGTAACTCTTTATGAGAAGAGAAAGCCCCATCTTTCTCCCAAAATTCGGCCAAAGCACTGCTCAAAACATTTTTGAACGGCCCCCCTGGCAGTGCCTGTCCTCCCAGTGGCTTCCCGGCGTGGCTGGTATGGCTGGTATGGCAGGTATGGCTGGTATGGCGCAGGTATGCTGGCTGAGAGAAAAGGTCTCGATTCGTAAGCTCTCCAGCCCGAGCCCTCTGTGGCTCACGAATGCCCCAGGCTGGCCCTGCAGCCCCACTCGGAGTCCCACCCCGCTTCTGGAGCCCAGTCTCACAGTTGCCCTTCTGCTCCTGGAAGGCAGCTCTGAATTGGCAAAGCCAACTGCAGGGCAGCCACTCCCCAGCTAGGTGTGAGGGGAACACCAGGCTCTTCTTGCTTTCCTTGGGTGCCTCGGGAGTCTGGCAAGAATGGACCTTTGTAAGGTTAGCCTGCCCGGCCCACGTGCTGAAGAAAAGACTGTAGTGACAGGTTAATGGAAGTTACATTGCCGGAGAAGAGACGAGCTAAAAGCAACCTGAGATACAAACATCCATGTGGGGAGACAGAGAGGTACAGCCACCTCTCATTATCTACCAGGAGCTGCCTCCGAACCTGCAGCTCTTTGAGGAGAATTCCACCATCCACCTAGTGCAATAGTCAAACTACAGTACTAATCACATAGTAAAATCCTGCTGAATTATATCTTGTTGTTGGAAACCATTGAGTCAGTACCCACTCGTACGGACTCTCTGTACCACCCAGCGAAACACTGCCTGGTCTTGTGCCCTCCTCACAAGTGTTCTTATGTTAGAGCCCATCGATGCCGCCTCTCCATCACTCCATCTTTGCAAAAGGCTTCCTCTTTTTCGCTCTCCCACTACTTTAGCAAACATATGTCCTTCTCCAGGGACTGGCCTCTCCTGACAAGCTGTCCAAAGTACATGAGAACATGAGATGAATTCTCACCATCCTTGCTTCAAGAAACGTACTGGCTGTGATTCTTCCAAGACAGATCGGTTTGTGCTTTCGACCGTCCCTGGCCCTTTTAGGATTCTTCACCAGCATTCTCATTCAAAGGCAACAATTCTTTTTCGGTCTTCCTTATTCAATGTCCCACCTTCACACGCATATCCTGTGCATATCAGGCGATTGAAAATACCATGGCTCGAGTCAGACACATCTTAGTCCTCAAAGTAACGTCCTTGCTGTTCAGTACTTTACAGAGGGCGTGTGCAGCAGATTCACCCAATGCAGTACGTTGTTTGATCTCGTCCATGGGCATGGATTGTGGATCCAAGCAAGACAAAATCCTTGACAATCCAGCCTTTTCTCTAGTGATCATGGGGTTCACTTACTGGTCCAGTTGTGAGGATGTTCATTTTCCTACAGACAGGTTGATGCATATGCTGGCGTCCCTGGGTGGCAGAGCTTCTGCCTGACTCAGAGCCTAAAGATACATGAGTCCACCTGGTTCTCCTCAGAAGAAACGCCTGGCATCTGCTACTGTGAGGATCACAGCCACGGATCCCACCTGGGGCAGTTCTACCCTGTAACACAGGGAGTCAGACTCAACTGCCGCCAGCCAGTTTGCACTGGGAGACACTGGGTGGTGCTGGTGGTTTCTGTGCTCAGCCATTGCAAATAATCCCCCGGAGTGCAGTTTGGCTTGCCGTGGGTCAGAATCCATCTGACAGCACCTGCAACTGGACTTCATAGACTCGTTTCCCCCACTCTCCAGTGACTCCTGGCAGAAGCAGAAACGACATGCCAAAGCAAGAAGCAGTTACCGCTGATGTAAAGAAGAAACACTCTGAGCTACCCCAGACCCGACAAATAACCTACTAAGAAGTAACACATACAGCCTACCCTAACACTTGGATGTAGTGATGCTGAGCTGTTGTGTGTAATCCCTAGGGAGGGCAGTTGGTGGCGCCACTCTCACTACTCACAGCCTTTTAATAATCTCTCTGCAAAACAAAAATTGCCTCTTTCCATTAAAGTGAAATTCCTCTTGGGATTTCTTTCAGTTAGTGAAACAAGCAAAAAACAAACAAACAAAAAAGGAATTACTATCAAGTCGATTCTGATGCACGGCGACCCTATAAGGCAGAGTAGAATTGCCCTGTGGGTTTCTGACACTCTGCAGTTAGGGAAAGCAGACACTAATGTGGGCCTTTTGCGAGAGCAAAGTGAACTTTTGAAAAGCAGGGGTCCCCGTATGGGATGCACCCGACTTGAGCTGTGATCTCCTCCCTCACCCTGCTGCGTGCCCACGAAAGCTGGATCACGAGAAGGGCAGATGGGGAGCAGCTGGTGCCTCCACGCTGCGGTGGGTGGCAGCAAAGAGGGACTGCCAGCATAGCCAAGGGGCCGTCTTTCTGCAGTCATGGTGCTCCTTAGAAGTGAGGGCACTGGGACTCATACTCGCTTGCTCTGGGCACATCTCTGGATCATGCAGTGGCGAGAAAAGGGCAGCCTTTTGGGTACAGTCGAGCTCTGGTCAGCGGAAATGAAGGGACCGCTTAGTGATGACGGCCCTGACCTGGCAGGGTCTGTGTGCATACAGTCGTCATGCGTCAGTCCTGACACAACATAGCGATGCTTGGCTTTACATATGTACCTGGGCAGGGCTGTATTCAAAATCAAACGTAACTGCTATGAGTTATGGGACATTCCAAGGACGTTCAATGGTAAACGATATTATCCTGGTTTTTACTCTAACCTGGGATTTTGAGACCGAAAGTCGGTTGTCCGTGTATTACTACCTGTATGGATATTATCAGCAAAGTTTCACAGCCCTGCTCCCTGGCTCTCGGCCAGATCTCCGCTACCACCAAATCAACATCAGTCATTCCAATCAAGATATGGGAGCCTTCTGAATCTTCTTCCTGTTGGCTGAGAATGGCATCAGAGTTAGTGGGAACTATGACGTAGAAGCTCTCCTTAAGAGAACGGAGATCCATTCGTTGTAATAATAGTACCACCTCAAGCCAGGCTAACACAATCGTCTCTGGCGGGGTGGGGTGGGGAAGGATTCGTAGAAGGCTTGCCTCAGAGAAGAACCCACAATCACTTTCAGTTCGTGTGCGGTTGCTTGTGAGTGGGTGCTTCTAACATGCTGGGAAACAGACATCGCCCCGTGACAGGGACATTTATGATACTGGCTGGCTCTGCTTTTCCGCAGCAAGCATGGCCCGTTTTAGCTCTGCCTTCACCTGAAGCTGAAATGAGCTGAGTCCCAGTGAATGGGCTACACGAGCATCGTAGAGCACGTGTCAGCAGTTCCAACTTTCCTCACCCTGTCCTCATCATTACCGTAACAGGTGACGATGGAGAGCCCCTTATTAAAAAAAAAAAAGCCTGTATCATAATAATGATATTTCTGGAGCAAGTACATTAGACCAGATGCTACGCCAAGCACATCACATGACTTATCTCCCAGCAAATCTAGAAGTAGATCATGGGATGAGAGACAACTATCAGGATCACCCCCCATATTACAGACACGTGGGGAAGGTAAGGCTTAACGGGCCCATTTGAAGCGGTAACGAGCCTCGCGTTCCAGGGTGGGCAAAGGGTTAACGTGCTTCACTGTTAATTGAAGGGTTAGAAGTTCAAATCTACCCAGCTCCACTTGGACAAAGACCCTGGCAATCGTCTGAAGATCCACAGTTCTGCTCTGATACGCGCAGGGTGGCCAGGAGCTGGAATAGACACAGTGGTGACTGAGTGGGGTGTTTGTGTGGATTTTATCAGGATATGATTCACAAACAGAACTCTAGGCAGTGGGACACTCCGCCTCAGGGGTTTCTCAGAAGTGGCTTTTGAGCTGGGTTCTGAAGCATTTCCAAGTCAGCAACAGTGGGCTGGACCGGTGCACACGGGGAGAGGGAAGAGAGTTCCAGCAGGAGGGATGGTGAGAGCCCTGGCCCTAGTTGTAAGGGACATTGCAGAGGAGCAGCACAAAGAAGCCGGAGGTGGCCGCGTGCATCTGGAGAGGCAGGCAGCCCGCCCGGGGATCAAGACCAGACTCAGCAAGCTGCTTCTGCAAAGGGCCAGATGGTAAATAGTTTCCGCTTGGAGGCCCAGAGGCCAAATCAGTAATGTGGTGTACTTACTTACACAACAAGAGAGAAACCAAATTTGAACACATTTTATTGATGACATTCAAAATAAAATAATAATGAAACTTTTTTTTTTTGGTAATACCGGTCTGGCTAGTGAGAAGGATGTGATCTTGGGGAAGGATACCTCATTGTGCTTAACTAGTATACTCTACTATTAAAATTTATTGCAAATACTTATCAATGCAGATCGGAAATGAGACATTCCATATTTCATCCTCGAAAGCATCATTGTATGAAGGTGATGTTGTGAGGTGTCCCGGAGTAGGTCCCAGCTCCCAGGGCTGGACCCCGAATGTGTGCCACAGAAGGAAAGGCTGCCGGGGCCCACACCAGCTCACCATCACTGTTAGGTGGGATTGATGCAGCCGCTGCGTCAACTGGGTGACGGCCGTCATCTCTCTCACAGACCTTCTGCTTCAGCAAGCACGGCTGTCAGTCTGTCCGCAACCACACAATTTTAATGTATTATATGCATTTGCTAGGCATTTATACATTTTTAAAGTTTTCTTTTTCCTTAATATTTTCCTTTTAGCATGTCATTCCATTGACAATCAGCTCCAATGGAAAAGGAGATGGAAACTCAGAAATTGCACAGTGTGTTAGCCTGGGTTGACCAGTGACACTCGTATATGTGTAAGAAAGAGCTTTAGATGAAAAAGTAATTCTACATCGAGAAAACATCCCAGCCCAGTCCAACTCAACCCCATAAGTCCGATACTCGTCCATAAGTCCCTCTTCAGACTCACCCAGCCACACGCAATGACGCAGAACGCAGGAAGATCACAGGCATGTGGTGCAGTCATGTGGCTCCGATGGCGGTGGCAGGGTTCTAGGAGCAATCAGGGTCAGCCAGCAGGAAAGTGAAGGCAGAAGGGGGGGGGGGGGGAGCGGTTCCCAGGGCCCTCATTATGAGAAGGCCATGCCCACAAGGAGGCGCCATCAGGCTGTGACCTGATGGACAGTTTGGATACCACCCTACACCTTTATAGATCTTCAAGTTGATGTGAAATTATATAACTACCACACACACTTAAATGTATTTTTCAATACGAAAATTTCTAGTGCACTCATGCTGCTGGAATTACAGTTAAGCTTGGAAACCATGCCCAGTGTAAATGTTTGCGGAATGACAGAAGAACTTCTTTTAACTTTGGACCATGAGGGAGGGCCTTGCATAAACAGCTTAACACTACTGTGAGTCAAATGCTGCTCCTTGTCATTCAGATGACTTGAGTAAGCCTTGCCTATCAATGCAGTTTTGCTTTTCACGTTTTAGGTTGGGTCCCTTGAGAAACATTATCTAGCCAGTAGCAATAGTATCCCAAATCACTGGGTGTGGTAGATAGAGTGGTTGAGAGCAGCTCATACCCAGTCAAAAATCACAACAAAACTCAACCACCGCTCAGCCACCTTGCCTGTGTTACTGCCGGTTATCCTTTGGCCCCAGGAACAGAGAGGCAGAGTCACCGAGGCTGCAAACAACAAAGGAGTTGTTTGTCTAGCTTGAGCTAAGGCCCAAGTGCTAAGGTACTAACACAGTGGCCACCAAAGATGAGGACCCTGGCCTGGGGCACAAGCCAAGCTTTCCTACTCTTTACAGGTTATGTAAACTGGGTGAAACTATCCCCCCCTCACCCTCCCCTAGTTCAATGACTTCATCTGGAGACAATTGGTTGTGTAGGTCTTTTTGGTTGACTGGCTCCACTCTCGACGTTCCAATTGTGGTCACTCAGGACTTTCCAGGTGTGGTCAGCGTCATTTCCGGGGGGAGGGTGGCTTTATTAGAGAAACAAACCCCAAGGCTGTTAGAGAAACGAAACTTAGGCTTGCCTTAGGCTTGGCCTGTCATGGAGTCACCGCTGCCTTACACCTGTGGTACAGCGAGTCAGCGTGTACAGCTTCTGTTTCTGGCCAAGACAAACACGAGTGGATGAAGTTCCCCATTGAAAACGGCTGGTTCCGGGAGGCCTCATCCGTTGGAACACTTTCCACAAAGTCCGTCTTGTGCAGGCAGGAAGAAGGGTACCCGAACAACGCATTAGCCCAGAAGATTGACTAAGATGCTGCTTCTCTTTGCAGGATGGAACCCAGGTCAGAGGGAAGTGCGGCGGTTACTGTGGGAAATGCACTCCATCCTCGGGCACCGGCCTGGAGGTGCGAGTTTTGTAGCTGAGGTAAGGCAGTCCGCTCTATCTGCCTGTCTCTTCTCTGTCCCTCTCCCAGTCTCCCTGTTTCTGAGCGAACAGAAATGTGAGTGGTTGCCCACGTACAGGAAGCTAGCCTGGCACGATACCACCTTTTCTCTCCGGCTGTGAGCCTCGGGGATGAGGAGCTTAGACCCTGCACCAGCTTCCTCTGCAGGGCTCCCTAGGCTCCATCCCTGGAGACCCTGCGCCATTACATCTCTGGTGGGACCCGGGACTTTGTGGACATCCTGAGGGAGTTCCTCAGCATGGGACTCACACAGAATATCCTCAGACAAACACTGCCAGACAATGGCATCTGTGGAGCCCTTACATGTCAGAGCCCCTGGGTGGTGCAAACCGTTCATTGGACTGGCTGCTCATCAAAAGGGTCCAGTTCTCCCAGAGGGACTTTAGAAGAAAGACCTGGCAATTGTCTTCAAGTGAGGGAGAAAAGGATCCCAGTTCTACTGTGCTGTACATGGATTGCCGGGAGTGGAACTCGCAAGGGCTTCTGGGATCTGGCTTCTCTCTCTCCCTCTCGCTGTCTCCATCTCCCCCTCCCTTTGTATATGGACTCGTGTTAATGAACCTCAAAGCAAAACCACAAGGTGGAGCTCTGATGGTCTTCGTTTCCCGGGTGGGGAGCTGAGGTCTAGAACAGTTAAGCAGCTTATGTGAGGAGACCGCACATTGCTGTAGCAGAACCCAGTGCTCTCCGTCACTAGCAGGAAGGCCACCAGTAGCGGGAGGGCAGTTACCTCCGAGGAGGGACTGGCTTACTGTCTGTTTGGTGAACAAACCTTTTGTATTCCGATTGTTCTGCGTCCCTGAAATTCCCCAGTTACCCTCCACAACCAAACATGACTTTGGCAATCTAGACAAAATGATACAATATTATTTCTAAATTCCACAAATGAAAATACAGCCTGCCCATTCTTGATTCACGGCATTGGAGGCAGAAGATTTACATTGCCTGGTTCTTTTTTTGTTTTTATCTTTAGATGTTGTGAAGAGGAAGCCGAAGGGGTTGGATGAAGGATAGTCATGCAATACCTCCACCTTGAATTTGGGTGTGTGTGTGTGTGTGTGTGTGTGTGTGTGTGTGTGTACTTGTGAGTCGGTATGTGCGCCTGTGTGCGCATTCATGTGTAAATATGCATATGTATACATATGTGCACGTGCACATAAATCAACTGTATGTGTGTGTGTATATATGTAGGAAATATCCTAACGATTTAAAGTTTAATATTTATGTTTGAAATTATTTATTTCGATGTAATATTTTTGTACGTAAAATGATTCTCCTGTGACTGCCTCTGCATTGCCTTAGCCCATGCAGGGAGCCCACTGCGTTTTACGTACTCTACATTATATGTAGCGCGATGACAAAAGTGATCCTTCATTATCACGGTACACTGTTGTTGACTTTCTGTCTGTAAATGTTGCCCTGTTCCTTTTATCGTTCGTTTTTTAAAACAACCTAGCCGCCATCCAGGTGCTACAGAGAATCGTCTGAAGGTGCTTTTGGCAATTCGAGGCGAGTACCATTAGCCAATAAGTAACTTAGTGATATCACAGATTTGTATCGACTATTAACTATGTCTGTAGTTTCATGTGATCTCTGGGAACACAACTGCTGCCTTGGTGCTAACATCGTAGGTGTTTAAGTAGCCTTCAAACTTCGACATAATAACACTTTCAATAAGGAGGAGGGATGGAAGGACCATATTTAATGGACAGATTCACTCAGAAGAGACAGGACCAGCTCTTTGCCCTTGCTCTTGGACATGTGCATCTGAGGAGGGAGTCGGACTTGGTTCTGGTGTTCTGCAATGCCTTCTGCCCACAGTGCCTTGGTTCTCCTGTGGGTACGTGGAGGGCCCTCCAGGCCTTTGCATTTCAGAGTGACATTGGGAGAGTGATGTCCTCACACCGTTTTGTTTTGCCAAGATAGTCTCCATCCGCACCCCAGCCAACCAGGAGCAGGACAGAGGATGTGCAGGATTCGGGGAGGGCTCTGCACCCGAGGACATTTGGAGCTCACAACCAGGTCCCCAGTCATCAGCATCATCTTCTGTTCTTTGCGATGGACAGTGATGTGAGTGCTCTTCAACTGAGCCTGAGCCTGAGACCCTGCCCGCCCCGTGGCTACTGTCCGAATTCATGTCTGAGACGTGAACTGTGGATGCTCGAGCCACTCAGCTCCCACCAACCCACTCCCTGTCCCGTGGTGCCACCCACCGTGGAGTGCCAAAACTGAGCTCACCTACCCGGTCAGACCTGTTGGAGGGAGCCATTGCCAGCAGCCCATGGGGGACGCTTGGTCTGCGGAACCTTTCCTACATGCAAAAGCCAAAGAAGCAGGGGACAACCTGGCAGTATTCTCTAACCAAAGTAAACTCCAGAGTGCTCCAGGAAGTTAATATGCAGTGTATGAATAAACGTTATTCTTCATATTAATGCATTGTGAAATATATTATGAATAAATACCATGATCACATCCAAACATTTGTGTGTCACATCCAAATGTGTATACTCTGTGTGGTTTCTGGACCCTTGATTCACGTTAGGGAGAGAATGTCTCTAATTTTTAAACTGCAGATTCTCCTAACCACATGAACTATGGTTGCTCTAGAAACAGATATGGGGTGGGGTCTTTCTCCAAGACCAATCTCACCATCCAAATCCGTTGAAGTGGTTCTTCCTGAACTAGGAGACCTGAGCGATGAGAAACTAATGATTTAACAAAACGGGAGATAAATATGTCGAATCTTTGGGCTTTGGTAGTAATTTCACATAGCAGTGGTTTTATACCCTGTGGACTGAGGGTGTCCTGCGTGATGAGAATTCCCAAGCATCTCAAATAGAAACCGGTGCCATTTTCTGGAGAGTCGATCCCACTGCTGGTGACCCCGCGTGGGACAGAGTAGAACCGCTCCGCAGGGTTTCCTCGGCTCTGTATTCACACCTTACCTTACCTACGATGACTTCAGTGCATAGCCACATCTAACTGCAAGAGAGCCTGCGAAGTATTCTCTCTCTCAGTGGCAACCTTGTGCCCGGCTAATGCCAAGTTTAATTGCTGAGAAGTAGAAGAAGAAGAAGAGCAAATAATGGGGAGTAACCTGCTTCTGCTACAAGCAGTCAAAACATACACATCTCTGCTCTTGAGAAGCACATTTCAGTGGGGATAAGCCAGCCCCCCTGGACATTGAGCCAATTCTGCCACATTGTGACCCAGCAGGGTAGGGCAGGACAGACCTGCTCCCACAGGGCTTTCAAGACTCAGTCTGAGCCTTAGGTTCCTAAACTTATGAGTGGGTACTTCAAAAAACTGGAATTTTTTCTCAAAGCTATATTTAAAAACTTTACAAAACAACCTTATCACCTTCAAAGTACTTTCCATTGCACTAAATACATTTGTTAAATTTGTGATTCCATGCTTTACCTCTTCTATGTTGTCAAACCGCTGTCCTGTCATGTCCCTCTGCATCGGGGGCACAAACAGACATCACATGGAGCAAGGTCAGGTGAGTAAGGTGGGTGGGGCAAGAGAGGCATCCTTTTGCCAAAAACTGGCACACTGAGATGGCTGTGTGCGCCTGTGCTTTGTCGTGGTGGCAAAACCAGGCCCCAGTCTGTCACAAATCAGGCCTTCTTTTGTCATCTCACCCTGTTATGCTATCTTTTCAGAGCCTCTTGATGAATGAACAGTCTGACCTGGTGGAACCAACTCCAAATGCACTGTTCCCTTCGCATCAAAAAACAAAAACAAATGAGCATCATCTTGATCTTTGATTTCACTTGACATGCTTTTTTTTGGGTGAGATGACAACGGTGTCTTCTACTGGCTTGATTGATGTTTGGTTTGGGGGTTGTAAGAGTACCACCGTGTCTCATCACCAGTAATGACCTTGGAAAGAAGTCTGGGTTGCTTCGGAGTTGTTCTTTCAAAGCACGGCATGTTCCCAGGACAGGCTCTTTTTCCTGCTCAGTCAGCCCGAGGCACAACTTTTACAGTAACCCTTCTCATCCCCAAATCTTCCATTAAAACTCAATGAACCGAGCTCCAAGAGAGTCCGGATAACTTCCCCATCTCTTCAATGGTCTGTCATTGGTCTTCAAGCACAAGTGCACACATTTTGTCATTATTTTTGTCCATTCAGGAAGTTGACAGGTGCCCAGAATGAGATTTGTCACCAATCAACATTTAACATTTTTGAAAACGAGAAAACCACTCGTGCACTTGAATTTTTCCCATGGTGCTGTCCTTGTGAGCTGTGTTCAACACCACAGCGGTTTCTGCCACATGTTTCCTGAGCAAGAAACAAATTTTCACTGCCCCACACTGTTCTCTGAAAATGGCCATCACAAAAAAATGAGGTTTGAGCAAAACTGGCTTGATGAAAAAATTCACTGTGACCAGAGAACCTTCCCAGGTGGTGTCACTGGGTGCATTCGGTCAGAGTGAGTTGCTGGATGCTTGCCTAGTGGGGGAAATGTGTTCTACAAAAGCTCAGCCCAGCAGAGTGGTTTTTTCCCATTTGGGGTGGATACCCCTCTTATTTCACCTACCATCCCTTTTTCAGAGTATAAAAATTTAGTGCCTCCAACCCTGTCAATTAAAAAACGTTTGTGCTATAGCCCATAATACAGGATAAAGGGGAGGCATCTGATTTCTCAAACCCCTGGATTATTAAGAGCACACCCCAGAGGCCAGTATCACCCACTTTGGGAAATAGGTTGAATTTCTCTTCAACAGTTCATTGTGGCTTTGGTGAAGACTTATAGCGAAATTTCATTTTTCATTCAACATTTATGCACCTTTTATCTCATTATAGGTGCTCTGGTGGCATCGTGGTCACAAATTGGGCTGCTAACCAAAGATCAGTAGTTTGAAACCACCAGCTGCTACAAGGGAGAAAGACAGTGAAGGATTGCAGTGTTGGAAACTCAGTGGACAGTTCTGTCCTGTCTTATAAGATCACTGCCAACTCGATGGCCGGCCGTGAGTGAGGATCTCATCGTGTTGGTTTGTCAGATGCCTTGATGTGATAGCACTCATCCTACGTCCTCCCTGGGCTCCCGTTTACAGTCATCCTCTTTTTCTTCCCTTTCTGTCCTCTGGGCTTTGTTTTGGGGCAAATGCTGCCCTTTTGAGCCCCTATGGTTGATTGTTCTGACAAGTACTACCTCACGGGAATTAATGTTCACTTAATAAGCTTGTTATTTGGCTGAAAGGTGAACCCCAGGACAAGGGTGTTTGGTCCAGGTTTGAAGGGTGCTTAAGGGCCACAGTCATGGAGGTTCCACTTGTGTCTATGAGACTGATAAGTCTGGTCTTCTTTATGATCTTTTGCTTTGTGTACATTTTGCTCACACTGCCTAGGACTTCCTAGGCAGATCAGGACTACCCAATCAGAGCAATGGGGAGTGGTAGTCAAGCACTGTCTGGTCATTCTGGCCTCGGGGTAGTGGAGGTTGTGGTTTGCAGTCTTTTGGAGTAATTGTTTCTTTGAGTTTTGATTTTCTTCACTCTTCTTTGCTCTGACTGAGCAGAGACCAATAGTTGCATCAAAGAAGGCCACTCACAAGCTTTTAAGAACCCAGTAGTTGCTTACCAAAGAGCATGGTCTTTGTGAACTATGTTATGCCGATTGGCCTTCAAGCCTCCCAGGACTAAGCCTCCAAGCCCAACTACTCAGTCCCTCAAGGTGTTTGGTAATGGCAAAGAAGTTTTATAACTGCTCCCTGTGTGTTCTACTACTGTCTAACAATGGATATATTTGCAACACATACAAATACACACAGAGAAACATCTTCTGCTAAAGCTATATAAGCACAGTGGGTGTCTTCCCATATGCCATCTCAGACCTGTTCAGCTTGCATGTCTACCCATTTATCGACTTTCAAGTTATTGTTATTGGAGGTTAAGTGCTTGTTAGGTGCTATCAAGTAGGTTCCAACTCATAGTGATCCGATGCACAGCAGAACGAAATACTGCTCAGTCCTGCACCATCCTCGCAATTGTTCTTATGCATTGTTGCAGCCACTGTGTTGGTCCATCTTGCTGAGAGCCTTCCTCTGTTTTACTAACCCTCCATTTGACCAAGAATCATGTCCTCCTCCAGGGACTGGTCTCTCCTGATACCATGAAGTATGCTGCCTGTAATTCTAACAAGGAAGATGTGTTTGTTCTTTTGGAAGTCCGTGGACTTTCAGTAGTCTTCTCCAGCACCCCACCCCAATTCAAAGGCATCAGTTCTTCTTTGGTCTTCTTTACTCAGCGTCCAATTTTCACATGCATATGAGGTGACTGAAAATACGATGGCCTGGATCAGGCATAATACCTTAGTACTCAAAGTAACATCCTTGATTTCAACACTTTAAAGAGGTCTTATGCATCAGATTTACCCAAATGCAATGAGTCATTTGATCTGTTGGCTGCTGCTTCCATGAGCATTGATTGTGGATCCAAGCAAGACAAAATCCTTGACAACTTCAGTCTTGACATCAATATTTTCTGTTTTTCATGTTTACACATTGGCCCAGTTTTGAGAATGTTTGCTTCTTTACACTAAATTGTAATCCATACCGAAGCCTCCAATCCTTGATGTTCATAAGCAAGTGCCTCAAGCCCTCCTCACTTCCAGCAAGCAAAGTTGTGTCATCTGCATACCCTCAAGCTGTTAATAAGCCTTCCTTCCATCCTGATGCTGTCTCTGGTCCATGGACAAGTTCCACAATGAAGTGTTCTGAAGTTCCCATTCTTCTCAAGGTTATCCATAGTTTGTCATGATCCACACAGTTGAATGCTTTTGCATAGTCAAGGAAACACAGTTAACAGCTCCCTGATACTCTCTGCTTCCATCTGAGACCCATCTGACATCAGTAATGATACTGCACATTTCACGTCCTCTTCTGAATCCGGCCTGAACCTCTGGCAGCTCCCTGCCAGTGTACTGTTACAACCATCGTTGGATGATCTCAACATTTTTATTGCATGTGATAGTAATGCTGTTCTACAATTTATGCATTCTGTTGGATCACCTTTCTTTGAAATGGGTACAGATAGAGCTCTCTTCCAGTCAGTGACCAAGTCCTCGTGTTCCAAATTTTTTGGCATAGATGAATTAGTGCTTCCCGTGCTTCATCAGCTTGGTGAAACATTTCAATCGGTATTCCATGAATTCCTGGAGCTTGGCCAATGCCTTCAGTGCCATGTGGACTTCTTCCTTTAGCACCATTGGTTCTGGGGTGTGTATGTAATGCCATTTACCCGTATAGCTTTTTGCCCTTGAGCATTTGCCAGGGTCTTCCTTTGCCTTGGCCGTATTGTGCCAATCTCCCCGTTGTAGTATAGTTCCTTTCTTGCCACCAAACTTAATACATGTCTATTTCTATTAGTGATTTCCCCTACCTCCTTCTCCCTTCCCTAGTAACCATCAAAGAAGGTTTCTTTCCTTGTGTAAATGTTTTCTTGTTTGTTTGTTTTCAACAGTGGTC